GAATGGGTGTGGAACAATCGTGTGAAGTAGGCAAGATCCAGGTAGATCAACTCATTGAAATGAGAATAGGAATTGGAGCGGTGATTGGACGGTGGAACATCGCGACAGCACCTATGGACCGGGTGCAAAGACGGCTACAATATAAGGAGTGCCCTCCCATTGACTGACACGGACCCCTGAAGATGCCGGCAGGAAAGCCAGCGAAAGCTTGGGTCATTATTTATTTATTAAAACCTTTTTAAAAATTTTAAAGGGTTTTGTTTTCCTGGTGCTCATTTATATTTATAAACTTTTATCATATATATATATATATATATTGAGTTATTTGTGCCCTGATGATGTTGGTAGATTCCAACGAAAGCTAGGTCTGTTATAGCATTTTAAAATCTTTTTAAAATTTTTAATGTTTTATTAAAACTTTTAATGATTTTAACTTTCCCTGGTGTTCACTTATATATATATATTAAAATATATATATTAAAAATAACATTAAAAATAGAAGATCGATTCCTGGATATGAACATATTTTTAAAAGACAACAAAGTGATCACCAGGAAGTATAAAACAATACAGTTTTAATAAATAAAACCAAGCTTTCGATGGCCTAAAACTGCCATCATCGTCAGGCTATGGATATACGGTGGGCTCTTATCCCACTCTTTGATACAATATCTCAGCTCACTGACGTAGAGTGGAAATCTGGGGAGGAAGCTCTGAGCCTATTATAAAGTTCCTGTGTCACTTTTGTGTGGAGAATTGCAGGGCAGAACTCCTGGTTCAGTCCTCTTGTCCCTAAAATCTGTTGTAGTTATGAAATTATAGGTAGCCCTCAACTTACAACCATTTGTTTAGCGATCGATTGAAGTTACAATGGCAGTGTAAAAATACATCACAACCATCACAACATCCCCATGGACGTGCAATTAAAATTTGTGCGCATAGCAGCCGGCCTATTTTTACAATGGTTACAGGGTCCTGGATTCATGTGATTCCCATTTGCAACCTTCCCAGCAGGGTTTCCCATGAGCAAAATTAATGAGGGGCATTGGATTTGCTTATTGACCATGCATTCACTAACTAAACCAGGGGTAGGCAACCTTGGCTCTTTTATGACTCGTGGACTTCAACTCCCCAGAATTCCTGGCTCAGGAATTCTGGGAGTTGAAGTCCACGAGTCATAAAAGAGCCAAGGTTGCCTACCCCTGAACTAAACAATGGCAATGATTCACTTAATAACCGTGGCAAAAAAGGTAATAAAACTGGGCATGATTCACTTATCAACAGTCTTGCATAGCAACAAAATTGTGCCGCCCCCCCATCGTGGCTGTAAGTCGAGGACTACCAGTAACATATTTCTAGGCTAAGTTTCAGGACAAAAACTCAGCAAAGGCTGCTTAAGTTTCCCAAGGTCGGAGTGACTTAGTTAACAGGCTTGTGATAGTAGGGTGTTGAGATACGTACCATCTAAAAGGCCTCTGTAATGGCAGGTGGTTAAAAAAATCAAGATGGTAGCTGTGACCATGTCATCAAGGCCCTGTCACTCTTTTTTTTTACATGGACTCCCTCCCATGGATGCCCACAGATTGTCCCCCCCCCCCCCCCCCCCCGTGGGAAGAATCCAGAGAAAGAAATATTTTGGGAAACATTAAAAAGGCAGAATATATTTATCCAAAGGAATAATGGAGAAGATCTTAAAGGCAGAAAAGCAAGCCCAGTTTTCTTAATAGCCCCAAGCAGAAACTACCAGGGGTAGGCAACCTTGGCTCTTTTATGACTCATGGATTTCAACTCCCAGAATTCCTGAACCAGCCATGCTGAGGGGAAAGGGAGAGGTTTCCAAGCTGAGCCATGCTGGCTCAGGAATTCTGGGAGTTGAAGTCCACGAGTCATAAAAGAGCCAAGGTTGCCTACCCCTGAACTAGGCAGAGGCCAGCTTT